ACATTTGAAAACTTTAGAACAAAAGAAAACAAACTCACCTAAGAGAACTAGATGGCAGGAAATAAAGTGAGAACTGAAATCAACAAAATAGAAACAAAGAAAACAATACAAAGAATCAATGACACAAAGAGTTGGTTCTTCTAGAAAATCAGCAATATAGACAAACGTTTATCCAAACTAACCAAAAGGCAGAGAGAGAATATCCAAATTAACAAAATCAGAAATGGAAAGAGGGACATAACAACAGACATGGAGGAAATACAGAGAACCATCAGGTCATATTTTGAAAACCTGTACTCCACAAAATTGGAAAACTTAAAGGAAATGGACAACTTTCTGAATAAATATCACTTACCAAATTAAATCAAGACCAGATAAGCAAATTAAACATACCTATAACTGCTGAAGAAATAGAAACAATCATCAAAAGTCTCCCAAAATTCAACACAATGATCCCAGCAAAATTCTTCACAGACCTCGAAAGAACGGTACTCAACTTCATATGGAAAAGCAAAAAACCCAGGACAGCCAAAACAATCCTGTACAATAAAAGAACTTCTGGAGGCATCACAATCCCTGATTTCAAACTCTACTACAGAGCTACAGTACTGAAAACAGTCTGGTATTGGCATAAGAACAGACAAGAGGACCAATGGAACCGAATAGAAGACCCGGATATCAATTCACACATCTTTGAACATCTGATCTTTGATAAAGAAGCAAAAAATATCAAATGGAAAAAAGAAAGCATATTTAACAGGTGGTGCTAGCATAACTGGATATCAACATGTAGAAGAATGAAAATAGACCTATATGTATCACCATGCACAAAACTCAAGTCCAAATGGATCAAAGACCTCAACATAAAGCCAGCCACACTGAACCTGATAGAAGAGAAAGTGGGAAGGACACTTGAACGCATTGGCACAGGGAACCACTTCCTAAATATGACCCCAGCAGCACAGACATTGAGAGAAACAATTAATAAATGGGACCTCCCAAAACTGAAAAGCTTCTGTAAAGCAAAGGGCACAGTCAACAAGACAAAATGACAGCCTACAGAATGGGAAAAGATCTTCACTAACCCCACATCAGACAGAGGTCTGATCTTCAAAATATACAAAGAACTCAAGAAATTGGACACCAAAAGAACACATAATCCAATAAAAAAAAAATGGAGTACAGACCTAAACAGAGAACTCTCAACAGAGGAATCTAAAATGGCTGAAAGACACTTAAGGATATGTTCAACATCCTTAGTCATCAGAGAAATGCAAATCAAAACAATTCTGAGATTCCATCTTATACCTGTAAGAATGGCCAAAATAAAAAACACTGATGGCAACTTATGCTGGAGAGGTTTTGGGAAAAAGGGAACACTTCTGCATTGCTGATGGGAATGCAAGCTGGTACAAACTGGAATGCAAGCTGGATGTCCGTGTGGCGATTTCTCAGAAAATTAGGAAACAACCTTCCTCAAGACCCATTAATACCACTTTTGGGTATATATCCAAAGGATGCTCAATCGTGCCACAAGGATATGTGCTCAACTATGTTCGTAGCAGCTTTGTTTATCATAGCCAGAACCTGGAAACAATTTCAATGTCCCTCGACTAAAGAATGGATAAGGAAAGTGTGGTACATTTACACACTGGAGTACTACACAGCAGAAAAAAATAAAGACAGCTTGAATTTTGCAGGAAAATGGATGGAGCTAGAAAACATTTTTGAGTGAGGTAACCCAGACAAAGAAAGATAATTATCACATGTACTCACTCATAGGTGGTTTTTAAACATAAGGCAAAGAAAACCACCTATAAACTACAATCTCAGAGAACTTAGACAACAATGCGGACACTAAGAGAGACTTACATAGACCTAATCTACATGGGAAGTAGAAAAAGACAAGATCTCTAGGGGGCTGGAGAGATGGCTCAGAGGTTAGGAGCACTGACTGCTCTTCCAAAGGTTCTGAGTTCAATTCCCAGCAACCACATGGTGGCTCACAACCATCTGAAATGAGGTCTGGTGCCCTCTTCTGGCATGGAGGCTGAACACTGTGTACATAATAAATAAATAAATCTTTAAAAAAAAAAAAAAAAGACAAGATCTCTAAATAAATTGGGAGCATGGGGATCTTGGGGGAGGGTTAAAGAGGGGAGGGGAGCAGAGAAAAATATAGAGTTCAATAAAAATTAATAAAAAAATCAAGCAACACCATGCCAATGTTTTTTTTTAATTTTTTTTTTTTGTGTGTGTATGTAATCACATGCTCCCTGTTTCCTGGTGATTGCAGAGTTCAGATGAGTGTGTTGAAGCCTCTGGAGATGGAGTTCCAGGCAGTTGTGAACTGCCTGATAAGAGAACTGAAACTTGGGTTCTCTAGAAGAGCAGCAAGTACTCCTAACCACTGAACCATCTCTCCAGATCCCTATTCCCAACAGTTTTTCTTTTTCTTTTTTATTTGTTTGTTTGTTTTTTGAGACAGGGTTTCTCTGTGTAACAGGCTGTCCTGGAACTCTCTCTGTAGGCCAGACTGGCCTCAAACGCACAGAGATCTACCTGCCCCATCTCCCAAATTCTGGGATTACCACAGCCTACATGAAAATTTTGTATGTTAGTTTGTTTATCTGCATTGTTGTTTTGCCTGCCTGCATGTCTGTGAGGGTGTCAGATCCCCTGGAACTGGTTACACTCAGTTGTGAGCTGCGATGGGGTGCTGGGTATTGAACCTGGGTCCTCTGGAAGAGCAGCCAGTGCTCTGAATCCCTGAGCCATCTCTTCAGCCCCCAAAACATTTTTCTACAGTCATATAATCCCTGGCATACTTTTTTTTTTTAAATATTTATTTATTTATTTATTATGTATACAGTATTCTGTCTGCATGTGTGCCTGCAGGCCAGAAGAGGGCACCAGATCTCATTACAGATGGTTGTGAGCCACCATGTGGTTGCTGGGAATTGAACTCAGGACCTTTGGAAGAGCAGGCAATGCTCTTAACCTCTGAGCCATCTCTCCAGCCCCCTGGCATACTTTTGACTTTATAGTGGTGTGAGAACAATATTGATTCTGTAGACATTGTACTTTGAAGTTAGAAGTTTGCTCAGTGCCCGAGCTCTCCATATGAGAGGACTTAGTAGTGGGCAAAGGCATATACAAAACCAGCTTGCAGTTAGCCTTGCAGTCCCTAGAGGAAACAACCCAGTATCCTTCTGTGTTCGGTATTGCTAGGCTAAAGCACACTAGATGTTCTCTTTTCCTTTCTTTTCCCTTTTTTTCTGTTTGAGACAGGATTTCTTTGTGTTGTTTGGAGCCTGTCTTGGAGCTCACCCGGTAGACCAGGCTGGCACTGAACTCACAGAGATCCGCCTGCCTCTGCCTCCTGAGTGCTGGGATTAAAGACGTGTTCCACCACTTCCAGGCTTCCTAATTCCTTTCTTTAAGAAAAAGTCAGGCAGTGGTGGTGCATGCTTTTAATCCCTGCACTCTGGAAGCCCAGGTCTCGGAGTTCAAGGCTGGTCTTGTTTACAGAGTGAGTTCCAAGACAGCAAGATATTCACTGAGACGGGCTGGAATGATGGCTCAATGGTTAAGACTGATCTTCCAGAGGTCCTGAGTTCAATTCCCAGCACCCAATGATGGTTCACAATTATCTATAATGGGATCTGATGCCTGACGCAAATTAATAAAATTTAGGGAGAGAAATTGGGGTTCAACCTGAAGATCCATAAAGCAAAGCAGCCAGCCACTGGCTTTTTTTTTTTTTAAAAGATAGCTTTCCAGAAAAAAAAAATAGTGGGGTTGTGTGTGTCTTGGCTGACCTGGAACTTGTGTATACCTGATGGGTCTCAAACATCAATGTGATGTGTCTCCCTCTGAGAGTGGTATTAAAGTTGTGTACTATGATACCCAGTCTCCTACTGTCTTAAGTTTTCAGATTATATATATATATATATATATATATATATATATATATATATTTCCAATTTAAATTTTTTAAAATAATTTTTTGGAGGTAGGATTTTTTTATACCAGTGGCTGTCCTGAAACGAGCTCTGTACAATAAATAGGCTGGTCTTGAAATCGCAGAGATCTGCCTGCTTTGCTCCCAAGAGTTGGGATTAGTGATGTGCACCACCACCGCCCAGCATTTTATTTTTATTTTAAAAAGATACTGTTTTTTTTGCCAAGGGGTGGTGATGCAGCCCATTTAATCCCAGCCCTAGGTAGGCAGAGGCAGATGGGTCTCCATGAGTTTTAGGTCAGTCTGGTCTACAAGAGCTAGATCTAGGGCAGTCAGAGCTGTTACACAGTACACCGAGAAACCCTGTCTCGAAAAAAAAAAAAAAAGACTTTTGTTAAAAGCACCTGCCCTTGTGGGAAGTGACAGGGCTAAAGAGAATGGTTTTGTCTTTTTACAAAAATATATAAAATGATTTTGATTATTTCAGTCTTGCAGAGTTGACCTTCATCTTATTTTTCCCCTCCAGGATTATGACCTGTGTATCACCTGTTATAACACTAAAAACCATGACCACAAAATGGAGAAACTAGTTCTTGACTTGGATGATGAGAGCAACAACCAGCAAGCAGCAGCCACACAGAGCCCAGGAGATTCTCACCGCCTGAGCATCCAGCGCACCTTGCAGTCTCTGGTACATGCGTGCCAGTGCCGCAATGCCAACTGTTCTCTGCCTTCCTGCCAGAAGATGAAGAGGGTCGTGCAGCACACCAAAGGCTGTAAACGGAAAACTAATGGTGGATGCCCCATCTGCAAACAGCTTATTGCCCTCTACTGCTACCATGCCAATCACTGCCAGGAGAACAAATGTCCGGTACCATTCTGCCTCAACATCAAGCAAAAGCTCCGGCAGCAACAGCTGCAGCACCGGCTCCAGCAGGCTCAGATGCTCCGCAGGAGGATGGCCAGCATGCAATGGACTGGTGTGGCTGGGCAGCTGCCCCAGAAACCATAGCCCCAACCCACTTCTCAACCTCAGCCCACGCCTCCCAATAACATGCCACCCTATTTACCTGGGAGTCAAACTACTGGTCCTGTGTCCCAGGGTAAGGCAGCAGGCCAAGTGACCCTCCATCCCCACCTCAGACTGCTCATCCCTCTCTTTAGGGCCTCCACCTGCAGCAGAAGAAATGGCAATGCAGATTCAGAGGGCAGCAGAGACACAGCACAAGACAGCTCATGTACAAATTTTCCAAAGGTCAGTGTAGCACCAGATGTCCCAGATGATGCCCATGACCCCTATGGACGTGAACTGCCTCCCATGGTCAGAGGTCCTGGGGTGGACATTTGGATCCAGGAATGGATTCCACAGGAATGAAACAGCAGTCATCTTGGGCCCAAGGAGGAATGCCTATTACCTATTGTTAGATAAACTGTGTGAGACAGATGCCTTGGCTTGTTTCACTTCTTTAACACTCATCGTAGTCTTAGCGAACACGAGGTCAGGACAGGACCGGAGATGAAGCTGGTAGAGCACTTGCCTAGCATGAACTAATCAGTCCCCAGCCAGCACCCCAGTGCTCATGGGCCTGCAAACCCTGTCCTCAGGGGGTAGAGACAGATCGAAAGCTGGAAGTCATTTTCAGCAATGCAGCAAATTGGTGGACAGTCTAGGCTACCTGAGACCCCGTCTCAGAATATAAAAATAATAGTTTCATGTATCCCAACACAATAATAAAGAAAAGCTGCTGCTATTTCCTAAGACTATTTAGGACCAAGAAGAAAAGGGAAGGACTGGCATGCCAACTAACTTACATGTAATAAACAGCTAAATTTTGACTAATTTTTCCAAAGTTTAGGAGATAGTGGCTTTCTTTGTTGCCCTGCTCCACGCTACTCCCCAAAGCAGCCTTTTGTGGCAACCATCTTTTTTTTTTTTAAAAAAAATGTGTACGCTGTTGTGTCTGCATGTACACTGCACACCAAAAGAGGGCACCAGATCTCATTATAGAGAATTGTGAGTCACCATGTGGTTGCTGGGAATTGAACTCAGGACCTCTTCAAGAGCAACCTTGAGCTATCTCTCCAGCCTGGCACTTGAGAGGCAGAAACAGGCAGATCTCTTTTGAAGGCAGTTTGGTCTACATGGCAGGTTCCCAGACAATCAAGACAACGTAACAGCATTAGGCATGAACAAAACAATGTTTACCACCTCGAGGTAAAACTCAGATACAAATTGCTTTTCTTCACAATTTCCATTAACAGTTTTTTTTTCCAGTTAAACTAGTGTTTGTACTTAGTCCATTGTTTACTGAAGCTCTGCATTCCCTATACTGCCACTTTTGCACAGCAGGGAAGTGTTTGGGACAATGCAAAGCTACGACATTCCATCATTTAAATGTCAACTCAGCTCATATCAGTTGCTGGTCATGGGTGGTGGTGGTGGTGGGGTTAATCTAAAAGCTGGCCTTCAGTTTGCAGAGGGATCCTCAGTTTGCAGAGGACTGCTTCAGACTTGCAGACAGAGCTATTGTAAAGGAAAGTAACCCACTTTTTATAGTTAATCCTTAAGTTGTATTACAGAGCTATAATAATAAAAGCAGCGTGGTATTGGCATAAATCATAAATCAATGACATGGAACTGAAAATCAGATGTAAATCACATACCTACGTACTCCCAAGAGAAGCCCAAATACACTGTAGCAATTCCAGTAACTTCAACAAACAGGGCTGTCAAACTTGTTGAAGAATCCAAATTGATCCATACTTATCACATTGAAGAAAACTCAACTCCAAGTGGATAAAAGAGCTCATCATAAAACCAGATACACAGAACCTGATAGAAGAAAAAGTAAAGAACAGCCTTGAACTCATTGTCATGGGAGAACTTGCTGAACAGAACACCGTTAACACACATACTAAGGTTGACAACTAATGAACTGGACCTCCTGAAACTGAGAAGCATCTGCACAGCAAAGGACATCATGCAGACAAAGTAGGAGCCTACAGAATGGGACAAATGGGTTTTTTTGTTTGTTTGTTTTGTTTTTTTTTTACAACTACACATCTGGTAGAGGGATAATATTCAAAATAATATAATGAACACACACAAAAAACTAGATATCAGAAAAACAAACCAATTTAAAGATTGGCTATAGGTCTAAATAGAGAAGCTTAAAAAGAGAAACTCAAGTGGCTGAGAAACACTTAAAATTAACTTTCAATATCCTTATCCATCAGAGATGTACCGATCAAAACAATTTAGAAATTTTATTTTACACCTTCAAAATGGATCAGTAAGACAAGAGACAGCTCCTGCTGGCAATGATGTGGAGTAAGGGGAACACTCATTTATTGCTGGCAGGAGTGTGAATTTGTTCAGCCACTATGGAAACCAGTGTGGCGGGTCCTCAGATAGGTGGGAATCAAACTACTTCAAGATCCAGCTATACTACTCTTGGGAATACACCCCAAAATGCATCATCCTACCATAGAGTTATTTACTGAACCATGTTCATCCAGGTGGGTTGTCTCCTATTCATCCTCTGTGGAAGTCTTTCTTTTTCTACCCTGAAAGAGACACAGATTAGAGACAGTCTAACACCACAGGTCCTAAACAACCTAGAAAAGAGAATTCCTGATGCCTGGTGTGTGGCTGCACTAAGACATTAGAAGACACTATGCTGGAACACCAAGGGCTCTCATGATGGTGACTTCAGAGCCAAAGCAAGCAGAGATGAGACATAAATGGAGAAATTTTACTAACTGTAGCACATAAGGAGAACATGAGCATTTTGGGGAAGGCAGTGTCTTCCTGGAACATAGAAACTATAGGGATTTGATTCAGGGAGCATCCACATATTTTAAGATGTGTGTGTCAGTTCTGGAAGGTGCTCACTGAAGGAGGACATGACACTCTTAAAGATGGTCAGTTTAAGGTCATGTATCCCATCCCATGCTTTTTCAAGTTAAATGAGAGAGGGCTGGCAGAGTCAATACCACTGATTGACTGTATCGATCGTGGTACCTAAAATGTAAATTGACACTGTCTGACCAGAGAAACACCCTTCAGATTGCACTAGTGCTACTTGGAGAGGACAGGGCATGTCGGGAGAACACAAACGCCCTAGAACTGACTGTGCATCCCTGCTGATGTCCATGTCATTAGCTCCTCCCATCATGTTGACTTATGTTTCTATAAACTGAGGTTAAATAAACGCTACCTCCTGTAAGTAGAACTCTCCCAACAACTGTGAGGAAAAATTACTAGTATAGTGGCTGGAGACAAGAATGTAAGAGAAAAAATTCAAAAATCACTATGGATTTTGCTAATCCTCGATTGGACTGTTGCATGTGACATCACATGAATTCCATGTGAGGTAAGCTAGACATCAGCCAATAGCAGGGCATCACCTAGAACTGGGATTGTCCTTGTCCTTCAGAGAAGCAGTTGGGTGCTGCGGGGTGAGCAGTTGGATTCAGTTGTTTCTCTTAGATTTGGACTTTTCAAAACCTGGAGGATCTCGATAGAGTGAGTATATTTCCCAGGCTTCAGTCTGGGCTTTTGTCATTTGGTATCTATTTATTTCTTTATTTACATCATTGGTTGGTTTGGGTTTTGATTTTTGCCTTTAACTTCTTTTTCCTCATTTCACCCCATTTTCCTTTTATAAACTTTTTTCTTTGTCATTTTTGCCTTTGTTTTTGTGCAATTTACATATTTAGTGATAGGTATTAACTGTATAAGATGAGGAATTTGACCATGACTTCCCATACCTGCCTGTATTGCATTTTGATTACATTTACCTGCTCTATTTCACTTACCCACCCTTTGAGTGTGACGAACTTCCAAATGCAGAAATGTTGTTCCCCCTGCTTGTTCATGACCCCTAGGAAACAAAATGTGACACTTGTGTTTGTGGAACTGGGATATTTGAAGTGACGCTTTCTCTAGTCCCAGGTTTTTCCTGAAAAGGCATTTCATTCACTTGATGTCTGATATAGGACTTACCTATAATGTTGTATGTACGCTATACTGTGAGCCAGTTTGTGTGTGTGTGTGAATCCTAATGTTCCTGGTGAAGGCATCTTGAACATAAAGCATGGTCTTCTTAATGTGGTGTTGAATTTGGTGTGAGCTACCTCTCATTAAGGATTATCTCTCATCAAAGATTTTCTAATCTGTGTTAGTCAATTGCATTGCCTGATACTGGGCTCTTTTTAAGTTTTATTTAATTGGTTTGAGAATAATGGCAATGCATCTTTTACGAACAAATTTGAAAATATTCCTTCCGTCATGTTGATAGGCTACTGAAATATTTGGAGAACATTGCTATTAGATGTTGAGATTATAGAATCCATCAGCTGTTTGTCTTGGTCACCATAAAGTCTTTCTTGATACTCAATAATTTCATAGTGTTTTGTCTAGTTTCATTTCCTAGACTTTTATATTTTCTTTAATTTATTATTTTCCCCCCTCTTGGATATATTTTTGTTTTTTAGTAGACAGAGAGGGAATGTCCAGAGTTTACAGAGGGACAGTGTTGTTAGGACAGATCTTTCCTTGAGACTAAAGGTCGTTAGTAATGACTGACACTCAGTGGGTATCTGAAGTTTTATTCCAACCCAACAATGGAAGTCTCCATGAATTTCAAGGTTTCTATGAGAAAGGGAGTTGCTGCAACACCAGGAAGCAGGCTTGGTTAATATGAGACCTAAGCTACATGTCAGAGGATGGGATCTGGAATTTAAGCTATTTGAAGAGATCATTTATAATATTCAGGGGTGGGTGGAAGAGATATGGTCAGTGTGTGACTGTGTGACAGCAATGACTCTATCTTGACTCCTGGGAAAATAACGGGTGAGTTGGGGTTGGATAGCAGCCTCTCTACTAAGGGCATTTGTCCTTTGGGGGAAAAAAATATAAACTGAAAAAAAAATTTAAAAAATCACAGGTTCTTTTTTTCCTGAGCCTTGATTGGTCCATTGCATGTGACATCATACGGAGCTCTTGTGAGGTATGCTAGATACTAGCCAATAAAAAGGCACTGCCTGAGACTGGGTTTTGATGTACTTCACAGAAGCAGTTGGTTGGTGGGAGAGCAGTTGGATTCCATTTTTTCTCATATACTTGGCCTTTTCCCCAAACTGTTGGATCTGGACATAGTGAGTTTGTTTCTCAAGTTTTCTGTTTGGGCTTTTGACATTTGACATATATTTATTTATTTACATTATTGGTTTGGGTTTTAATTTTTTCCTCTAAGTCCTTTTTCTTCATTTCTAGCTTTCCCCCCCTTTTCTCAGCTTCTTTTCTTTGTCATATTTTTTGGCTGTGTTTTTCTGTTTTTCTTTCTTTCTTTCTTTCTTTTTTTTAAAATAAATTTAGTGGTATCCATTAACTATATAGGATGAGGAATTTGATCATGATTTTGATATCTATCTGTGCTCTATTTTGGTCATATTTGTCTTCTATATTTCACTTCCCCACATATTGAATTTGACAAGTACCTCCCATTATACAAAGGCTCTCCCCCTGCCTGCTCATGTTCTGTGGGAAACAAAATGCGACGCTTGTGTCTGTGGAACTGGCACATTTGCAGTAACTTTTTTCTAGTTCCAAGCTTTGTCCTGAAGAAGACATTTCATTCCATTGATGTCCGATCATAGGACTTAGTGTGCTATGCTTATTGACAATTTGTACCTGTGGACTAATCCTTAGTGTTTCTGGTTAGAGACATCTTGATCATGAAGTACGGTCTTATTGATACAGTGTTGAACTGACGTGAGCGATCTATTACTCTCATTCAGGATTTTCCAGTCTGTTAACAAGAACATTGCCTGATACTAGGATCTTTCTCAAATGTCTTATATGGGTTGAGAATTAGGGTAATCCTTCCTTTATGGAAAGAGTGTGAAAGTGTCCCTTCCTCTATTTTATGAACTACGTGCAGATCATTGCTGCTGTTGTTGAGATTGTAGAAGATGATTTCCAGTTTGCTGGTTTACATCCTGGGCTTTAGGTTTGCTGTTTCATATTTATATTCATGCTGTTCCCTTCTGCTTTTTATTTATTCTTCCTTCCTACAGTACCTTCTGACTGCATCTTCCCTTCGCTGCACTCCTCCCAGTTGCCCCCCACCTCCTCTCTCCACCTCATTCACTGCTCCTCTGTTTCCCTTAAGAAAAGCATAGGCTCCCTAAGGACAGCAACTGAACTCGGCATAACAAGGTGCACTAAGAATACACTGAAATTTTTGTTTTTGTTCCAGGGGTATTTTGTGCTTATATTATCTCTTTCATCATTGAATATTACCCAATGTTTATTTTTTAAAGTTTAGTCTATATTTCCCTTTGGTTTCTTTTTTCTCATATAAAACACATTTTCTTATTTATATTTATTACATTATACTAAATATAAATAGAATTTATATACATTACAAGTATAAAACATTACAAATATAATATATACATCACAAATAAGCAATTGCACGATATACATGACTCTATTGTACTTTGTTCATATTTCCCTGCACTATTTTAGTGCCCCCACCACATCTTTATGATGTAGAGTATGACTTTATAAAAGCTCAGTCCCTACCTTCCTCATGATCCAGAAGAGATAGAGGAGACAAAGTAGATCCTACTTCTGTTTGTGGATCAGCTTTGTTTCAGGGAAAACTATATCTAGTGTTAGCTCTTTCCTTATAACATAACCGTTCACCAGTCCCTGTGCTGGGTGTGGACTCTTCCCCACAGTCTCTTGCTGTGCTGTGCTGTTGATCTATTAGTTTGTTAGAAATGTTACTTCAGCTCCTGGGTGAGGCCATTCTGACCCTTTAGTGTGTTGCTGAGATGGATGTGCGATATTAAGGACTCTCATTAAAGATTTCACATCTCTGTTCATCACAGAAAGGAGCCTACACTCGCTCTATTCATTGAGCTCATTTGGTTGTAGGATCAGCGTAACACTGGCACAGGAATGAGTTCTGATGTCTTCCTTTGCTTTCTCTTTCTTTAAGTATGTTCTCTGACCCTGGTCTTCATTCTTCTGCAAAGTTTTGACTAATTCAGGGAATCCATGAGATCTTGGCTCTGCTTTGTTTGGAGCTGTTTCTGTTACCAGTTCAAATTTGTTGTTTATGATTCATGTGTTTGTGTTTTTATTTTATCTTAATTCAATATTCACACATGTCTAGGAATTCCTTTTATATTTTCTAATATCCTGGAGTGCAAAACTGTAGCATCCCTGAAAGACCCTCTGAACAGTAGTTCTATAGGTTACAACATTGATTTTCTATAAAGTAATTTGTGTCTGCTCTCTCCTGGTCAGTGTTTATGAGGAGTTTGCATTGTGACACAGTCTTGAAAATAACTCGCCCTCCCCTTCAGGGATCTCAGGGTTTTCCTTTGACGCCCACTTCACTGATTCCTACTCTGAACTTTCCTATGACTCCTCATCTACTGCTGTGGATTTGGGTTCCTCTAGTGTGTTTATATTCTTGAAGAGAATCGTTAGCTCATTGGCGATGTCAGATTTCACGACAGAGAACTGAAAGCTATAAACTTCCTGCCTAAAAGTGCGTTGATTTTTTTTTTTTTTTTTTTTTTTTTTTTTTTTTTTTTTTTTTTTTTTAGGATTGTGTGATTCTGAAATTTCCCACAAGATAAAGTGGTTGAAATTGATCAAAACACCATGGCCAGCAACATGGAAGAGGACACTCTTGAAAAGGATTTCAAGATCTTACTATCCCTAGGTTGTGGTGCATTCGGGGAGGTGAAGCTGGCCTGCCACCTGCCCACTCAGACACGAGTGGCTGTCAAGGTCCTTGAGAAAAACACCAACAGTGTGGCTGACATCAGCACTGAAGTAAACATCCTTCAGTCTTTAGAACACAGGAATATCGTTCGATTTTTTCACATGATTGACACCCTGACAACCACGTACGTGATCATGGAGTATGTGGCAGGAGAAGACCTGGAGAGCTGCCTCAGGGCACTGGGCTGTCTAAAGGAGGAGGAAGCCAGAGCGATTTTCCGGCAGGTTGTATCAGCAGTTCACTTCCTCCACCAGAGACGCATCGCACATCGAGACATTAAATTAGAAAACATCCTAGTCGATGCAGCAGGCAATGCAAAGCTTTGTGACTTTGGTATGGCGATTGAAGTCACAGAGGGGCAGATGTTGGAGGAGATCTGTGGCTCCTTGCTCTATTGGGCCCCGGAGATCTTGGCAAGGAAACCGTACGATGGACTGGCAGGTGATATGTGGAGCCTGGGCATCGTCCTATACACCCTGGTCACAGGGCATTTTCCATACGTAGAAACCACCCTGGAGGCTATGCACAGGCTCATCACCACCACGATGTGTCCCATTCCTTACCATTTATCAAAACCCTGCCATATTATAATTGCGAGATTACTCATGGTCCCCACCTGGTACAGAATAACAATCTGCCAGCTTGTGGAACGACCATGGCTGGGCCCCATTCAAGACCATGTACCACCTGCCACTAAGGAACTCCTTCCCAGGGTCGTGGAGACTATGTGTACTATCGGCTATACCTGTGAAGAAATTGTTTCATCCTTAAAGCACAGCCAGCCAAATAACTTAACAGCCGCAATGAATATAATCAAATACAAACTGAGCTGTGGAGATAGCCATATGCAAAATAAGACCTGGTTAAATGTGACCCATGCAGCTCCCTTTAGCCTCCCTGTCGCCTTGAAGAGAAGAGCTAGTGAACCAGCTCTTCCTGCTGGGAAGAGTCACTTTCACAAGGAGGGTTTGGATGAAAGTGTCAGGAGGTGCAGAAGCTGTACCACACTCAAGAGATCCTGCAGCCTGGAGGTGATGCCGTGTTCAGGTAACACAGTCCCAGAAAAAGATGCCTTTATGGCTGATGTCATCAACTCTGCTCCAGAGAACACTGCAGTCAACAGGAATTCAGTTGACGGTCTGCCTGGCAATCTCTGCTACCCAGAGTCAACTCTGGATGGAACTTTTACCGGGTTTGTGAACATGGGCTTCACAGAGGAACCATCCATGGCTGAAGACATTCCCAGTGACCAGTCCCAGGTGTCACCCACAACATCTGGATCCAGGTCATTCCGAGGCTGGAAACTGGTGAGGAAACGAATTTCCCAGGCACTGAGAGCACTGTGCTGCTGCTGCTGCCGCCGCCGTCGCCTGTCCACACCACGGTGAGTCCTGAATCCTTGTGTCAGGGGCTTCACAGAAAAGAGAGGACAGTGGAGACCTACGTGGAGTGCAGTTGGTTTGGTCACCCAGAAGGATTCCTCACTTGTATTTTCACAATGTTGTTTCAGTATTATTTATAAATGACAAGTTGAACCCACATAGAAGGCACAGATGCTAAGATGTCTAGTATGTTAGATGATACAGTTTCACAGTTTCCTGTTCATGTAAATACCCGCAATGCTGAGCCAGAAGCAGATAGCATAGCATGTGGACCACAGGGTGGGAAGAAAGGGAGTGAATTTTGGATAAAGGGGACAAAGTTTCAGAATGGAGGAATTGGTAGGGGAACTATGGCACCGAACATTTCTTTGTCACAGTTACTAACAGGGATGCTTTCATGTTTCTTTCTGCTGTGAAGTGTGGAAGTTGAAATGGCCTAACAGAATTCCAGCCCTGGAGAGGAGTGACTGCCAATGAAGGGGGCCAGGACAGGTCTCCAGAGTGCCAGGTCCCTCCAACCCAGGGCAACAGACTCCTGCATCCATCCTCCAGCTATTGGGAATCAGCTGCGAGTTTGCTTCTCCTTCAGCTTCTTCCAGCTCCAGCACTGCTGTTGTAGGAAGAGGTGGTCATAGGCACAGCTTCCCAAGGACCCTCTACCTCCCTAGCTCTGGTTGTACTTGCAGGACGACTCACACTGCATGTACACAGCTGACTCTACAACCAGGAATGCCTTTATACCAATCTGGGCTGCTCTCATCTTAACTCTAACCTCTCCAACTTAATCTGTGACTGTCTTCTGGAAAGGACGGCGAGACCTGTGTGAGTCTCTGGAGGAGGGAGACGGGTGAAAGGAGATAAAGGGACTAACTGGGAAACTGGATTGAGACAGGAAAAGGGGAAATGAGAGGTGGTGTAGAACAAGGAATACAGTCTGTCCTGAGGAACTTCCTGTCAACAAATAACATGAATGAGATGGGTGTACTCTCTTTACACCTGTTACAGTGTTACAGTGTCTCTGGACATGCTAGAGCAGGAAGAAGCCTCCCCTGAAGAGCACATGGGGAGGGTCTAGGAACAGCCAGCAATGAGCATGAGAGGGCCTCCTCTGATGGTTCCAGCATGTGTCAAGGCTCACATGTAGGATGCCTTGGAAATTTCATCCTGATCTTTCCTGTTGAGCTAGGGTGTGGCAGGAGAAAAGGGAAGCCTATTGGTCGGTGGATTCCCATCTTCTTCAGTGCAGCGTAAGTCCTGTCTGTCAAAGTCACTCGAGAGGGACTCTGATTATTCCCTTGGTTTTTATTGAGGGAGAGTGAGATGACCTATTTGAAATACTGTCTTGATATGTAACTGAAGGATCATGTCAGAATGCTGTGTCCTGTGTGATGTTATGTCAGGGCTACAGGATCTGGTGTCAATCTTCCTGTTATAGAGTCTCAGTTCCACCTCACTGCTGCCCTGCACTGTTGTTGGACATCTCTGCGTGGTCACATGCAGCATCAACACTGAAGGCCTCCCTCCCTTGTTTCATGGATCCTGTCGGATCAGGCTTCCCAGCTTCTAATAACCGGCCTCTGTCGACAGGACAGACTTGCACACAGGATTCAGGCTTCGGTCCTCTGTGATCTCTCCATCACCTCCAAACTGCTTTTTGACTGTCTTTAGGAAGGACTGCAGGAAGCATAAACACAGTAGGGGAAGGGAGTAATGGGGGAGGTAGAAGGAACGGGAGGTGGAGAGGTAAAGAGGAAATGAGAAGACCTGTAGAGAGAGGGCTAGTGTCTGTTCTGAGGAGCTGACCTGGAAATGAATCAGGAGAAAAGGACGTTTTGCTGAGGCAGGGGTCTTGAAGAAGTAAGACCAGGAAAAATATCTTCTGTAGAGTAAGAACTCTGGCTTCTTGCCAGCGATGAGGATGAACATCCCTGCTCTGAAGGTTTCTGTCATGTGTCAAGGTAGAAAAGTGTGAGGCAGTCTTGGAAAGGCCTTCCTGACCGGGGCTACTGATTAAGGTTTTCTTAGGACAGAAGGGTGCTCCATCATAATTGGAGTCCTCCCCTGGTCCTGTCTGACATGGCCTATGGCAGGTCTGATGACATCTGTGTCTTTGTCCTCACAGGCTCCTTCATCCAGGCTTTCCATGTTGCCTCCCATCGCCTGATCCAAGAATCTGGCATCATTTTCCCTTCTCACAGAGGGATTTATAACTTACATTAGACCTCACATTACCATTGTTCTGCTCAAACGGGGGAACGTAAGTATGTCTTGTCAGGCCTGATTTTGAGTTCTGCCTCCTCAAGGCCAGCAGCCAGGGAACTTCTCTATGACCAATGCCCACCATAGGGGCATGTGCACAAGGAACCTTGGTCATCATGGAGCTCCTGATGACAGCCAGTGGTGCAGTGTGAACACTGGTGAGTGTGGGGTCTGAACTGTTTTCCAGGACACCTTCCAGGTAGGGATCAGCTTGCTGAGTTGCCAAGGGAACCGAACTCAATGGGTAATCCAGGGCCCTATCTGTGCGCATCATCCCCTGAAGGTAAGACTGAGTGCAGTGAGTATCTGTGTGTGGTAGAAGAGGAGTTCTGAAGCCTGGTCCTGATGTCGTGAAGAAAAGGATCCCATGAGGTCGCCTCTGCCAGACCCCTAACACAGAGGGAAAGTTACCATTGACTCGCTTGACAGAAGAGCAATGGGAGGCTGAGAGACTGCGGAGGTGTGACAAGGGAGGAACCATCTTCTCTGTTGTACTTGGCATCTGGCTTCCATTCTGACCATCTGACCTTTTAGCAAACTCTGGTTCATATTGAAAACTTTGGCCTGATCTTCATCCCAGCAGGACAACAGCCAGCTTGTGTGGTCACATACTTTCTAGAACCCTGACCATCTGGTGAGTCCCACATCCACAGAACAAGAAGCAGCTCGATTAGGGGGTGAGAGAGATTTCAGTTTGTGGGCATCAGCTGGGGTCAGGTCTTGTTTCTGTTGCTTATCAGTGAAGCCAGGCTTGTGAAATGGTTGAGGGTTCTGTTGAATTCTGGACATGAGATAGGGAAATTTCCTGAATCCACATTTTATATTTTGTGTTTTGAAACTGGATCTCACTATATAGTTCTGGCTGTCCTGAGGCTCTCTATGAAGAGCACACAGATCTCAAACTCATAGAGATTGACCATGTACCCCGCCTCCATTTGCTACATTACAGGTGTCCATTGCCATGCCTGGCTTCAAGAGCTGTATGGCGTCAATGGTAAGTTCCTCCAAACAGCTGATGCAGAATCGTGCCAGTTCTGTGCTTTCTTCATCTTGATAGAGTCAGGACTGAACTGAAGATACTTTCATCCATGATGGACTAGAAACAGGGGGCAAAATCCAAACCTAACCTTCAGAATAGAAGGTTATGTACAGCATGAACAGACACCTGGAGGTAAGGAGTGCCATCAGGAGTTCTTCTGTGGACACAAGTCAGTGGGCTGGGGACATGTGTCATTGCTGATACATCCTTGGTATCAAGGCACAGAATATTAAAGCCTATGCTCCAACCGTGTTTTCACAGAATCTCCACCTGAAGTCTTAGCACAAGTCATATGACTTCATACTGACCAATCATCAGAATCCAGATCGGTTTCCTGGTGTGATTGACTGAGTTCTTTCCATTTGGGCCATGAGAACAAGGCTGAGGACTTAAGGTTTGTCACTGAGACACTGGGCTCCTCTTTCACTCTAAGGACACCAGTGCTAGAGGCAGTGCACGAAGCCACAATTTCTAGGTAGGAGCTTCCAGCCCTACTCATCCAACACACAGAGAGAGTCCACTTGGCTGCTGGCTTCCACATGGATGCCCCAGTGATTTCTTTACTTGGTTTGGTTTGGTTTTTCGGCCATTGAATCTTCTTCATACTTGCTGGCTAATGGGGATCCCAGAGGTGCCGGAGTCCTGATACTGAACCAACTAGGACTCTGCAGCACATGCTGGACTCTCCGTGAGGGTAGAGGTGATCATTCCCCTCCCCAGGACATTGTGGACCATCTCTTTGGGACCACCGTCCTCAGTGTTCTGTCATTCATGTTCTGACTCCTTCAGACCTCCAGATTTTCCATATGAGAGAAAACAGACCTCTTTGGTTTTTGGGACTTGCTTGCCACACATAACATAGCATGTTAAGATGCACATGTATTCTGGAAAATTTCACTCTTGATGCTGAGCATGTGCTCTTTCCCATATCTTCAGGTAGTTATTTTATCAATTTTTTTATTTCATCAATTTTTTAATACTTGAAACTGTCATCTGTCTTTTGCAACTGGTGCATTAACTTGTTTACCTATCTGTGTTAGTAAATTTCCAAGTCTGACATCTAAATCTCCAGTCCCACACTTCTCCCGGCTTCTAAGTAAAGTGACATAGTTGAGCTGGAGATGGTGACCAGAGGATGAGAGACAGAGGCTGCAGAGGCAGCAGGAAAGAATTTGCACAGGGAGGAATGTGGATGGGGTGGAAGAGACGGGGTGGGGGGGAGGAGCCATGGGGAGAGGGAAGCTCAGTGGGTAAGGAGAGTGGAGACTGAGTGCTGCATGTTTCAGATTCCCTTAGAGCCCCTCTCACGGGTCCTTCCTGTTTAAAGTGATGAGCTCTGTACATCAGGAGACACTGGGTGGAGATTGCAAGTGTGGCCTGAGACAGCAGAAGTAGGAGCATTGGAGGAATTCCAGATGGCAGGGTGCCCACTTACCCAGCAGAATCTCTGTCCAGAACAGGAGGAGGTAAGGCATCTCCCACAGGTTTCTCCCCAGGACACCATAGTTTTCAAGGGAAAATGCCCATGGCTGGCCTTTCACAGCATCCTTGACTGAGGTGGTCTTGAGCCAATACCATGTCCAAGCTGCCCATGAATGTGCAGACCCTGTGAATCAGTCTTCAGGGAAATTCCTCAGCAGAACTTCTTAATCTCTTCATTCCTTCAGGTTTCCGTACCTAGTGGAATGTTTCCCCACATGACAGCAGGGAGCTCTGGTGTAGGAAGTCCTTCTTTCTATGTGTTGCTTGTATCGGTTAGTGAATAAAGAAACCTCCTTGGCCTGATAGGGCAGAACTTAGGCAGGCTGGGGCAAGAAACCACTCTTGCCTGGACTGCTTAACTGGACATGCAGGACCCACAGAGGAATGACCGCTGAACTTGCCTAAAGATGAGATGATCCTTCAGGGTTCCTATTTCATGAAAGAGTCTGTCAGACATTCTGCAGGATACAGAAGGTGACTGATGAACTGCCAATATAGGCAGACCTGTCTTTGAAATTTCCTCCTTCATGGAAAAGTCTGCTGGATACTATGGGCCTGTAGACTGAAGATGGATGCCCCAGTGGTACAGAAGAACTTTGGATAACTGTCCAGGCAGCAAGATGTCTCTGTCAATTCTAGAGTTTTAGAAGTTGTTTATAATACACTTTCTGTTTACTTAGGTAATATATTCTTCTGGAGTCTTTGATGGAGTTGAAGAATTTATAGTTATAGTTTTCCTTTGTTATGATAAAAGATAAAGTATATATAAATATTGTAACTGTAATTCTTGCTAGAATTTTACTATGTTAAAGCCTTCCTTTTTGCTTAAAAAGAAAAGGGGAAATGGTGTAGGAAGCCCTTCTTTTTATGTGTTGCTTGTATTGGTTAATGAATAAAGAAACTGCCTTGGCCTGATAGGGCAGAACTTAGGTAGGCAAGGAAGACGGAACTGAATTCTGGGAGGAAGAAAGCAGAGTTAGAGAGATGCCATGGATCCGCCAGAGACAGACGCTGGGAGTTTTACCCGGTAAACCACTGCCACGTGGCAATATACGGATTAATAGAAATGGGTTGAATCAAGATGTAAGAGTTAGCTATAAGAGGCTAGAGCTAATGGGCCAAGCAGTGATTTAATTAAGACAATTTCTGTGGGGTTATTTCGGGGCTAAGCTAGCTGGGATGAACAAGCAGCACTCTCCTTGAAACAGAGTTCCTTCTCCTCCTTCATCTACCTCTACTCCCTGTGGTGTGCCACCTTCATTTATCCCAAATTCTGCACATCAGAAAAGACAGTCATACTGTGTGCGGCTCTGGTTACTGTGTTTCTGGAGGGGCCTCACTGTAGGGAGTTTTATCAGAACTGTACTTTTCTCCTGACAGGAAAGTGACCATCTGCTGGAGGAAAATGGGCATCACTTTGGAATGCTGAGACTTTGCTCCACTTTGGAAGTGAGTAGGGCTTACCTAGCCTAGGACACAGGGTCCAGAGGTGGGGCCAGAACTCTCACACCTACTTTATACCCAGGCCCCACTGGTCACAGGGGTCAGGCCTAGGCAGCCTTGTTGATCATAGGACTAGAGCAGTTGACCAAAGCTAGGCAGTCTGCTCCGTTGTCCTGCTGGGCTAATTGCTTAAGTGTTGTCGGGTGCACCTGACAGGCAGATCGCTGCTCCATGCAGTGAAGGAGGGCCACTCTGATGGGGTTGAATGCCAATGCTCTTCTGTGGGCAGCACATGGCTAAGGGCATCACTGACACCACTATGTACCAGCCTGTGGTAGCTGAGAAGTGTTTGGTTTCTGCTCTAAACTTGGCTCTGGCTTATAGTTTAGGAAACATCAGGCTGGCCAGGCAGGCTTCCCTCTATCCCAAGGGAAAGTGGTCATTGAGCTTGTGTTACAGAGGACGAGAAAGAGAATGAGAAACAACACTCAAGGCAGGGCTTCAGTGGGATGTTGAGAAAACTTGATGTAGGTGGCACATCTCTCCCGTCCAATCCTAACACCACTGGGGAGGGACAGTTTAAATAAAAGAGGGTGAACATCTTCTCATACAAGGGTATTATAATAACAATGACACATGAGATAGATGACGTTCACTCTCACTCCCTAGTGACTTAGTCTTCGTTGGGTTCCACATCCAGGAGCATGATGGTTCACACATCGAGCAGGGAAACCGGCCCAGAGGTGTTGAGCTGCTTTCTCCACGGCAGTTGGCTGATCTGTTGATCAGTGAGTGACCACTGAGGCAAGTCAGTCCTGATGTACTTTACTGTCACCAGTGCCTAGGCAAGGGACACTTGGGGACTGTGACCAGGTCATGGAATCTCAGGAGAGACAGCTCAAGTGGACCAGGGGTTCCAAACCCATCTGATCATCTCTAAGAACGTGACTCTCAGAATGCAGACATGATGCCCAAGAGGCCTGAGGTCAATGTATGTATTTTTTTATACCACTGGCCACTAGAGGGAGCCTGTTGTGGCCTTTAGACTGTTACCTGAGATCAGTCAACTTCTGATCAGGCTCACACATTTAACATCCTCCTTCCCCACTGTCTCCCTGATGGAGACAACAGGAAGAGGTGCAGTCAACACCAGCTATTTATACCCAGGTCTCTACACACACCACCCCAATGTTGCTCAGTACTATTTTCATTGAAGTGGGGAAAACTGAGTCCCAGAGATGCTCAGAAAGCTTGCTCTTTGGACAAAGCATGACTGGTCGGATCCCTGTTTAAATTCCTTGTCCCCAGCTACGATGACCATTGTGGTAGCAGCCTGGGTCCCCTGTAGTCTCAGAGGTCAACCCCAGAACTCTCATTGACCACCCTTCTCTCCTCAGATCTCTAGGTTCTGTTGGACATGCTCTGGGACAAAGCTCACTGTCACCGTATGTGCATCCTGTGTCGTCTAGGCAAGTGTTGAATGAGATGGGCTGCAGGAAGCACAGTGTCCAGACACAGATGTGTTGGTGGGAACCTGCTCTCCTCCCTGACCCTAGAGCCTTTTCACAGGACAGGAGCAGGGAAGCCAGAAGAAACCAATCCCTGCAACCAGAGCTTCCTGTGGAGTCCATGCTGAGTTCTCCCTCAGAAAGGCCACACAAGGAAGTGGACATTGACCCGTCCTTATTAGATCCTGAATCCCACCAGAAAGAACCCTGCTATTTTGTGAAAGACCACAGCAGAAGGACTGGTGAGTGAATCTCTCTGCCAGCCCTGTTATTAGTCTAAAATAAGCCTTGTCTTGTAGGTGCCTGACCTGAGGATGTGCACACTGAGTATTAGTGACCTTGAGGGAGGAGTCGGCCCTCACTGTCACTTCTCATGGATGACTAGCATGTCATTGCCTGAGCTCTTGAGGATCTCAGAGGCTCCACTGGACGTTATGAGGACACTCTGTAGAGGACAAAGAAATAGCTGCTCTTCTACCTTCCAACTACAGACAACCACCCAAGTTACCAGCAAAATCTGCGGGATCTACAGGAGGGCCCCCTTGTGAAAGCCTCCCAGTGGGTAGATGCTGTTGTATCCCTGTCCAACTTAGACCCCCTTGCAATTTGGCAGTGCAGAACATGACCTGTGCCTCTTTGTGCTCACAGATAACCCGGAAACTCTGCGTGAGCAAGCTAAGAAATTATTGGAAAAGAGCCGTGGGAAATGAATGTGCTTCTCTTTCTGACTGGATCATCTGAGAAGGATCATCCGAGAAGTGTCCAGGGACCCCCTGTCCCAAGGTACCAATAACATGAAGAGGGAGAACTTGAGGTCATACAGTTGGGCCAGACTCACTGATATTAGATAGAGACATTTTACAAACAAACAATTCTTGAAGTACTTGGCCTCAGAACACGTGATTCACAGAAATCCAAATTGATAGCTCTCAGGGTCTACCAGTTGCTATTTCCAAGGTGACAGATCTTTACCCTTTGTCTACAGACTCAGTGAAATCCAGTCTGATGCTCAAACACCAAACGGAACAACCAACTGTACCTAAACCTAGAAGAGATGGAAGAAGGCAGAAGAGATTCCTCCAGAACCTACACTGTGGTTCTAGTACACCCCAGAAAGCCCCAGAGATCCAGAAAGGACTCCAGGAAAGTATGGAGACTGGACACATGGGACAGAAAGCTCAGCAAAGGACCCAGTTACATCCCATCAGCTGATTTTGCCATGGACACCCATGGAAGTCAAGGAAGAGAAAACTGTCTGTACATGAAAGCCTGCAGAAGTGTGAAAAACAAAGAATAGGGAATCCACTGGAAAGCTAAACACAGTCACCATTTCAGCTGACCCCAAATAAAACACTATAATGTTCACATAAGCGTAATTGAAGAGAAGTTTGTATGTTCCTGCCTTACAGAGAGAAAGAGCAGAAATAACATGGAGAAGAGGAACTGTGGACATGGGAGCCCTGAGGTCTCCAGCCAAGAAACACAGAGCTGGAGCGTGGCTGGAGCAGAGGGAGCCTGGTCCCTGACACACCCCAGGAGACAATAGACCCCTGTCAGTGTACATCGTGTGGTTGGGAGGTGGACATGTGGTGTGTGCTGTACGGTGTGATGAGGGCTGACCCTCTCCCATTGTGTGGGATGGAGACGATAAGAGCACAGTCAGGTGGGGAAGCAGCAGAGCCCGATACCTAGACACTTTATTGTGCTAGGCATGCTCCTCCCCTGTTAACACCTTACATACATCATCAGTTTAAGGACATGAAGGACACCCCTCACTCACACTCACCACATATTTTTCTAGGGATCAGGCCTAGAGTTTCACTCCCTTCTGCTGTCAAAACACAATGCTAAGTAACAGACCCTGCTAGAAATCCCTCCAACTGCAGTGACAACTGAGATCTGATGGCAGATATCTGGCATTGTTGGACACTTCACCTCCTGTCCATGGCACATACCTACTGCTAGGTTCGGGCCTGTGTGGACGCCTCCTGCCCTGACACATATGACTCCTTCCCTGACTAGGTATAATTCACTGCTGGACACCACACTCGTTCCACATCACCTGCTTTGCAAACTGTCAGACCCTGCTGAACAATCTCCCCCACCTCCCCATCACACACATAAAGCCTCAAATACATTCCTAAATATTGGCCCATGAAAGAGCCCCCACCTAACCACATATTAGCTCTAGGTACCAGGCCCTGTTGAGCAAACCAATCCCCACATCTCATATGAATACTGAGGCACTGGACCCTGAATGAGACTCCCTTAACCCCACAAAGTGCCTGTTATCTGGTCCTGCTGGATCATTGCCACTCTGCCCTAAACACACTGCTTTTATTTGGGCCCCACAAGACACCATCACACCATGGAAAGTCTACATGCAGCGAAAGGTATCAGACCCTCTTCTGCATCCCACCACACAAGCGGCATTCTCAGGCCCTGAGGGACACCCCATGACCTGAACTCACATATAATTTAAGGGTATCATACCTTCTTGATATCCAAACACTCTAACCATGATAACTCCTATGATGTCAGTTTAAGACCCTTTAAACACACACACACATCACCCGGCAGCAGTCTCAAATACATTGCTAGGTATCAGGCCCTGGTGACACTCCCTAATGCCTCATACACACTCTGAAGTGTCAGGTACCCCTGGATATCAGACCAACACCGCCATCCTACTCTAATATGAACAGGCCGGCACGGTCACTAAGTCATCCCATCAGCTAACATGTATTTATCAGGCATGGGGCCCTGCTGGATACCCCCTCCTCCTGCTCCCCACTGGTGTTCACCCCTGCACTCCTGTGGCCACACATCTACTTCTAGGTATCAGGTGGTCTCGTTTGACCTCCTACCCCACATAAACCATAAGCTATCAGATTGGGCTGGAAGCTTCTCCCCCGTCACACAAAATTGCCTGCCAAGTGTTGGCCTTGCTGGACACCCTTCCTCTGAGCACGTCACACCCGCAGTGCTAGGCAATGAGTTCTGCTGGACTCCTCCCCCAACCACACAGTGCTGTGCGTCAGGCTCTAGTACTAGTTCCGGTGCCATGCTGCACATCAGCCCCCAACGGTAATGGCACAGAGAGTGATGTGGAGCACGTCCGCCTGAACACTAGCCTGCCCTCCCACACGATATGCTAGGTGTCAGACCGAGCTACTCACACACCCTTATCGTACACTGCTGGCCAACAAACACGTCTATATTTCATACCCTGGTAGAAACCATGTCACCACCGTATACAAGCTTCTAGGTGTCAGGTCCTAGTGCCATTCCTGTGCAGATGCCGTCACCCATACAATGCTAGGCGTCAAGACTTACCTGACATCTACCATTCTGCTACTACATACATAATACAGGGGAGTATACAGAAGGATCAGAATCATATCAGTGCATACAGGACTTCAGCAAGGTATCCCGCTGTTATAGCCAAAGACATGCACTGATACATGGCTAGGTAGGCATCAGGTCTTGCCAGAAATACCCTCTTCTTTAGCGAACGCCAAAGACACAGGGAAAGGTTTCAGATCTTTCTAGGTAAATCCTCCACTACAGCCAACATTCTCCTTACACGGCTAGGTATCTGGTCCTCCAAAGAATCCCTACCTACAGCTAACACCCTCCAAAGTCAGGTCCTGTCAGGTCCTTTAAGTGTAGTCAAAGACCCCACACATAAACAGAGACACAGAGGACTACGTGTCATGTTCTTCTATGAGTCCATCCCTTAACGTCAAAGTCCCGTGATACACAATGTCAGGATCTGCTGGGTATACCTCCCAACAGCCAGAGTCTCAGATACATGATTATGTGTCAGGTCCTCCTCAGAAAAACCTCCCTTGAGCAAAGCTTCAAATACACATGCATAGTGAAGTGCCATGTCATGCTAAGAATCTCCTCCAGTGTAGCCAATTACACATATACATGTAAGGATGGTGTTAGAACACGTGACTGGCACCTACTTTAAGTGCAAACCCTAAACTCCCATTCACCCACACATTCACACAACACACACACACATAGGGAAGGAGAGAGGAAGGGGGAGAGGGTGGGAAGGGAGGGAAGGAGAGAGACAGGAACAGAGTTAGGACTCATGTCCTCCATGGTATTCCCACTCTTAACTCAAAGCCCCCTCCCCCACAGGTTTTAGGTCCTGATAGTAATTCTGTCTTCTACAACCAATGATAAAACACGGGGCTAGGTGTCATGTCATGCTAGGTGTTCATACACAGCCTTCGGTACACCTACCATTGGTCTTAGATCCTGCTATAAGTGCACTAACTTACAAACAAAATTCACACACAAACACACACATGCACATATGTGCATCTTGTCCCCTCAAGAACAGATTAAGCCTCACCAATACATACATGGCTATATCTCAAGTCCTTCTAGGTATGTTTTCCCCTCAACCAAATGCACAAACTCAGCTTGTCATCTAGGCCTTCTAGGTATCCACATCTCCATAGCCAAAAGACCACACACACACACACACACACACACACACACACACACACACACAGTCTAGGTGTCATCTCCTGCAGGGAATTCCCATACTTTAATTGAATGATCACCCCTCAAATATATACACATGGTATGGTCACGTTCTTCCATGAATGATCACTTCGACAGTCAAAGTTAAACACACAGGGCTAGAGGTCAGGTCATGTTAGGTCCATCTTCCCCTGAAACTAACCCTCTTCTTACACAGCTGTGTAGAATGTCTTCCATTAGATCCCCTAGTCTACATCTAAAGCCCCATGTGAAGGACTAGGTGTAGAGAGTTGCGTGATGCCATGCCTTACAGGTGGCGCTGATTCCCACCTTCCACCTTTCCAACAGTGAATGCTCTCAGATGTGTAACAACTCCATAAATGGCTAACGCTAAGATCTGGCTGCGCGTTTCTGGACCTATCTGCGTCTCCCACGTGGCTTGAAGGGGTTGGCTACCCAGAGGTTATTTAAGCTGCAGACTGGCTTTTCCCCGGGGCGAGAGGTTGCAAGAGGTAGCAAAAGGATGAGAAGATTATTTTAAGGGCCTGAATAAACCACAGTTAAGAAGAGTCCAGTGTTGTGTCTTCATTGCTGATAAGGCTGACACGACAGCTAGGTCTTTCTAAGTACTCCATCACAGCCAAACATGCCTAATACAGCACCCTCATATTGTAAGCCAGAGGTCAGGGCCTGGTAGTAATCTCTTCCTTTACAATTACTTATACATACATGGTTAGGTCAGGACCTGCTAGGTACCTCCTCCCAACAGCAAAATGCCAAGTTCACATATGCAAACACATAGAAACATGCATGTACACATATGCAAGCAGGCCTGAAGAAACTCTTACTAGGCTGTGAGGTTCCAATAGATCCGCCCTAGCCCTGTGGGTGAAGCCTTGTCTTGAGAAGCAGGGTACCTAGCAGAACTAGTCACCTAGCTCTGGTTATGTGACATTGCTGTAGAAGAGCAGATTCCTCTCAGGACCTGACACCTACCCATGTCTGTGTGATTGCTTAGGTGGGACTGCATTGCTACACCTGACACCTAACCTTGTGTGGAGAGCTTGGGCTCTAAGGGAATGAGAAATATATCAGGACCTGACACCTACCTGTGTGTGTGGATAAGGATAGGGGTGCTTAACCTATAGTGTGATGAAAATAGCATGTCTTGACACCTCATATACTTACAGTTGTCAGGTCCTGCTAGAGAACCCTCCCTTAGAGTGCCACACTGAGGTATACCCCTACTGTCCATGACCTCCAAACAAGCCTAGGTCTCATGTCCACCTCATTAACTCCTCCTGTAAGTCAAAGCCTCAAATATCAATGCAAGGCTAGGTGTCACATCATGCTAGGTGTCCATGCCCTAATAGTCAATGTCACTCATACACATTGGTTGTAATGGCTCTCCCCTGCCACATATTCAAAACTCTGTCTTCTCTTCTCCATCCCTCCCCCCCTCTCTCTCTCTCTCTCTCTCTCTCTCTCTCTCTCTCTCACACACACACACACACACACACACACACACACACAACTAGGACCCTGGTACTTTTATGAATTTTGTCCCATATATCCAAAGACAAGCACCAGTCTATGTGTAAGCCCTGCTAGGTAACACACACCCTCTAGGCAAACCATCTCATACACATAAACAACTAAATGTCCAGTCCTTCTAGACATTGCCACCCCACAGCAAAAGCTTCTCATGCACACACGGGGCTAGGTTTCAAATCCTGTTATGTGTGGCTTCCCCTAACACATGGAATGTTAGATGTCGGTTCCTGTTGGCATTCCCTCTTCCCCAGCTCCTCTTTGTTCCTCCATGTTTTATTTTCACCTTAGAAGTTTGGGAGACAGAAATACCAGATGAATAAAGCCCCTGGCATAAATCTTTCTGTATCTGGGATCTGTCCCTTGATATCTTATCCCCAAACATCCATTTTCACAGAAAGCTGACTCAAAAACAAAGAGGGTTAACGTGCTGAGCGTGTGAAATTGGGCTTGTGATTTTGGAATTGCTGGCAAGTATCATGACTCATTCTTTAGAATGACAAATTCTAAATGGCAGATTCAGGCCCACTCTGGGTGTCTCCACCCCTGTAAGTTGTCTTGAATTGTATAAGAAAGCAAACTGAGGCAGCCATGAAGCGTGAGCCAGTAACCATCTGTCACCTACTCTTGATTGAGTTCCTACCCTAACTTCCCTAATGATGGACTTTGAACAGAACATGGGCACCAAATAAAACCTTCTCCACCAGTGGGTTTTGTCAAGATTTCTATGACCAATAGACAGAACACTCAGACATTTTCTCAATCATGGGGACATCCTGTCTCTACCTCCTGAGTGCTGGGACACAGGTATGCACAATAACACTACAGGAACCAATAGCAGTTTTAAAGGTGGATAGATGCATGGGAGAAAACAAATTTAGGATTCAAGAAAATATAATTTCATGGGATGAGCTTAATTTTAGTGAAGTTAATTATAGAAAGTATCTCAAACAGATAGTTTTGAGAAATCGTACGGAATGAGGGCAGACACAGCTACTATGACACAATAAATACGCCCAACGACACAGGCAAGAGCTGGGGAGGAATCTGAGTTTATTTTTAATATGTTGGGGACTCATCAGAGGATACAAACAGAAGAGTCCAAACATCTGACTTGAGCTAGTAAAACATGGGACTTGTAACAAGCAACAGTGGTTGTAGGAACATCAGTTTAGCAGGCTGGCAGAACTGTGGCAACATCATGGATGGTTCACCCCCTAGATCAAAGACTTGGTGAATATACCCATGGCACTGTGTGCAAGGTAGGTCATGAGGTCAGAATATATGTGAACACATAGGGCCCAGCAGACAACCTTTGTTATACACATAGCCTCGCTCATGAGAGCAGAGAATGTGACCATACTGAACCCTGCCCAGCACACATTCCATCACAGTTCCTGAAGGCTGGCTTGTGAGGTCAGAAGGGACACCACTGCTACTTCATCCAGCACCAGTCACCTATCCCATCTACAGTCCAGCCAGCACCATGTGTCTCCACACCTGAGCTCAGGAAAAACACAGAGGAGCCAAACAAAACCTAATGAGGAACAGCAAACACCAATCCAAACACTCCCTGCACACGAAGGTATCAGAAACACTTCACCAGCAAACTCAATCCAGAAGAGTGAGCCCCATGACAAAAAGAGAAGGTACATGAAAACCCAGGACTACATAGCTCCTCCCAAAATGGCCAATCCTGTAGTAGTGGCAAACAGAATGACATAATAAAATTCAAGATAAAGTATGCAATAGAATGATTTTTAGTATGTTCACATAAATTCATCAGTGAATTTATCAGGGTACAAATAATTTCCCGAATTAATTCAGCAAACAAAAACTTGAGTAAGGAAGAAATTCAAGATTTGAAAACAGAACTTAATACAGAGACATAAAAATGAAACAATCCTAGAATCTAGAGAATTAACTCTAGAAATAAAAAAATATATAAGTCTAAAAGCACAATGAATAGCCTCAAAAAAAAACCCAATGTATTGTATGGAAAGCTAAGGTACAAGAGAAAGTTAATCATTCAAATACAAGTCTGTGATAATTTAATTAAGTTTTTAGTATGAAGGGAACATGTGAGTTCTTTGGAAATCATGAAAAATATCCAAGTATGAATTATAGGAATAGCAGAATGAGAAGAATCCTTCCTGCTAAAATATGGAAAATATATTCAGTAAAAAACAGAAGAAAATTTCCACAGACTAGGGAAAGAGATATACCTCCAGACAAGAGGCACACTGTAACACCAAATAGAAAAGGACAGAAAAGTTACTTCCCTGTTCATTGACCATTCCTCAGAATCACAGGGTTGTTCTTACCTGAACCCCAGAAAGAGGTCCTTGTCCCCTGCACATGGACATTTTCCCTCGAGGACCTTACACTCCCCAAGAGTAGAACAGGGAACAAGGACACACAGAACTCAGTTCCTCACATGTGGCACCTCAGCATTACATTAGTGTACCCCACATGTTCCTGTTTGGTAAGGATCACAGTTGGAGATTTCCTGTGGTGCCCCATTTCTTCCCTTGTGGAGTCTCACGGATGAATTCAAGAGAAGCCTGGACTTAGAAGGATCATGGGATAGTTAAAAGGGCATCCTCTCCTGATTCCACATTCCATTGCTAGACACCAGGTTGCCACACAAACGGCTGTGTATCAGTCTCTACTACTAGTTACCATCCAAGCTGGGCCAGAAATGCCACCTCAGTCACATGTATTCACAGTGACCCATAGGGTGCTGTGTATAACGTTCACCTGGACACCACTCCTCCCTGACACGTGGCATACTATGTGTCAGAAGAGGATAGAAATACACGCTTATCCCCAGTATACTCGGCTGGCCAACAAATACGTCATTTTACAGGCTCTGTTATACACACATACCACTTTGATATACAGTCTTCTAGGTATCAGGACTTTATTGCAATGCCTGTGCCGACACAGTCATGCATAGAATGCTAGGCATCAGCCCTTACCTAGCATCTCCCTGTTCTGCTGCCCGCATCCACTACCTAGACAGTGGCGGGGAGGGGCGGTGAGCATGGCTGAAAATCAACACTGCATTAAGGCAGTAACACAGGTGTAGGAAGTGGAACTTATCAAGCGGTGCCTGATATAAGGCACACTCTGAGGCTCAGGACCAGAGGCTCCAGAAGTATATGGTACACAGTCGTGCACAAGGGCTCAGATAGGTGTCCAGTGAGGCCTGACAGCAAGGAGTGTGATTCAAGGAATCTGGACAGGGGATGGAGTGTCCAGGCGGCATGAAAACAAGGAGAGCATGCGTAGGTTTGGCAGGGTTCCAGATGGTATCTAGTAAGGCCTGAAGAGGGGACCGTCCCGGATATTGAGAGGACTGTGTGGGAGCATTAGGGGGATGCTCTGCAGTGTCTTATGAGCACAGCACTGTCTTTTGGGTGGCAGCAGTTGGGGCTGTCTAGGTCCAACAGGACATGACACATAGTACTCTATGTAGATTACCAGGGGGTGTCCAGCACACCTGATCAATAGCAATGTTTGCGGAGCAGGGGTGACAATGAACACAATATAAGGAACAGTGTGACTATGTTTGTGCTGGTGTGTATGCTTGTATACCTGTGCCTGTGGGTGCATGTGTGTGTAGAGGTGTCTGTGCACACTCGCCTGTGCTTGCAGTGATGGATTAGATAGTGTGATCGGTGCCTTCACCCACAGTGAGTGTGAAGTGCAGATATGGTGTATTTTTGAAGTCTGTTAAGATGGCAGAAACGCACGTGGGGTGATTGGGTGTTCAGTGGGGCCTGATATTAAGCAGTGCATCTAGGGCTTGAGAAGCAGGGAAACTGACTGGAGCAAGGCTGGATATAGCAGTTTCTGTGGGAGACAGGGTCCAATGGGTCCTGATGTTTAGAAGCTCATGTGTACTGCCTTTCCCTTGAAAGCACCCTCATACAATGCTGGGTTTGTCACAGCCCTGTGCAACCTGCTTCACCTACAATATCACATACACTAACTTGTCAGTCCCTGCTACACACCACCCTGTTTCTCAATACACACTGCTCCATATAAACCCAATTGGGCAATTCTTGACTCACGAAGGGTAGGGGACACTGAGATAAGATGAGGTATGTAGGTGGACTAGGAAACATGGCTATATGTTGGTGTCATTGGGCAGATGCATTTGTGAGGCACAGGGGTTCACTGTGGGAGCTGAGCGTGAGCACTTTGGAGGACGTGGGAGATCCAGTGCTGGGTGGGGAGGACAACCCAGGTCACAGGGACTGGGTCAGGGAAGGACTGATGGTCCTTGCAGGAAGCAGACCGCTCCAGTGTAAAGCTCCAACGGGAAAGGCATGTTATAGTGCACCCCTCTCCTGTTCTCACCCAATAGCTTAACCCCCAGTTCACCTATTCCTGGGGTCCATGAAAGGCAAACCTCTTCTGATCACATCGGGCTATGGAGGCACCTGGAGAGACTTAAGAAGGACAGCGCCACAGAGATGCAGACCCCGTAAAACAATGGGAACTGTCATGGCCACTGACCGTCCTCCGTGCCTTGGCCTCAGAATACCTACCTCACCCCTTGGTTTTCACGCATACTGTGTAGACATCCAATGTCATACCTTAGTGACCAAGACCTCAGATGGAAAATAACACCCAAATGATGTTGATGCTCCATGGATTGTAAGAATGAAGTCAAAGGTAAGACCAAGTCCAAAGGACAAGTGGCCTGGCACAATGATCTCCTCAGGCTTGGTTCAAAGGTCATCAGAAGGAAGCAGATGGATCCATGCCATGAGAGCTCTATGGAAGTCAAAGTTCAGCAGAGCTGGGAGATGGATGAAGGTCAAAGGTCTCCACAGCAGCCCATGCCAAGGGCAGATGGTACAGTAAATGGCCTTGTGACTGCATTTCCTTCACTATCACACCTCTGTACTTAGATCGAAGAGGAAAGATCTAGAAGTCTCACAGACGATCAAGGTCACAGATCTAAGGGGCCTAGCCCCCTTCATCTTGCTCCGGTGTTTCTGGGAGAATCCTTGAAGGATGCTGTGATGCTGTGTGTCCTGTGGGATGTTGCGCTCAATTTCTAAAATACCATGAGTAATGGCCGGAGAACACACATTAGTTTTTTCGTTCATCTGGCTAGGAATCCATCATCTCAGATTTCCGAAGTTTGTGCCTTATTTCAAGCAAGTGTTCCCCAATCACAAAGGAAGGACTGAGACTTTGTCTTCACCCTCAGCTATCCTGTCCTTCCTGAGCTAGCCCTGAACACCTCTCCAGGACCCGGACTCACACTTAGACAGTACAGAAGATTCTGATTCAACCTGCATCGATGACTTCTCTGAGATCACACGGTTCTGTGAGACAAACGGAGAACACTGCTCAATTCAGTTTTCAATGAGCTGTTGGGCCCCCACCTTTCTCCTAAACTCTCCTCTTCAAGTTCAAATTTGACTGAACTTCAAAATCTCATGGCTCAATAAACACAGGCCTGAAAATATTCTGTAGCCCTAATTGCCCTAGGGTCACCCCTTCTCATAGCTTAAATGTTCAGAAGACATTAGGTTATGGGGTGAGCCTGACATTTGGGTTGAGACTTTACAGTAGTCTAAACTACTGCAGGCAAAGCAGTGGCCTAGGGCTGCATGGCCTCACTGCCCTGGTAGCCATCCCATGTGCCAAGATCTGTAACCAAAGTAACCTTGACTTGACCCAGCCCTGCCATTTACAGGCCCTACAATGGCTGGGGCGGTCCTTGACCTTTCTCTGAATCAGCCCTTCAGTGTCCCTGACAGTGCTGAACATCCTGCCTGAATTCCATCCTCCTCAGTACCCAGCAGGAAGCAGCCCTGATCCTGCCGTGTCTGCTCTCTATCCATCCTTTTCCACAAGAGATCGGTGCTGAGTTCATGTATCTCAAAGTGTATAGGAAAATTCTTTGAATCAATGAGGACAACAACACTGAGCCTCAACGCAGAGCTTTTGGAACACGGCCAGGGTCAGTTATGAGTCCATGCTTTCAGAGTTAAAGATGGGAGTAGGACAGAAAAGTAGAATGTCAGGTCAGAGTGCAGGGCTGCTAATATAATTCTGTGTCTGTGTGTGCTGGTGTTCATGTCTGTGTTTGTGTATGTCCATCTGAGTGTGTCCATATGTATATGAGCTGTGTGTCATTGTGTGTGTGTGTGTGTGTGTGTGTGTGTGTGTGTGAGTATGCATGTGTGTGTGTGTGCAGATTGGTTCAAGAGAGACTATAACCTGCCCTTGCTGCCCTGGCACACTGTGGCATCAACATTTCTACCATGGTATGGTTGTGGGAAGAGGCTTTGAGAGTCTTTACACCGAGCAGTGGCATCAGCACCTGGGGACAGTCAGAGTCTCTAGGCACAGGCCACATGGACTTCTAAACTGCAGTCCCATGGTATGTGAGTGCCTTGACTCACCAGAGACTCACAGCAAGGATGTAGGAATGAGAATCTCATTCTGAGATCATGGTGTGGGGGTGTCTTTTAAGTCAGACAGTGGGCAACGGGAATCAGGAAGGCCACTCACAAAGGGGAGTCCTTTCCCCAAGGCTGAACCTCACTTCTGTCCCCTGGGAAACAAGGACAGGGCCATTGGCATCACTCTGACAGCCTCTGAAGCCTCTGTGACCACGTGTGGGAAAAACTTGACAAACTTCTGCAGAGGGTTACCCATGCTTCAGTCTTTCCCAATTTTGGAGGACTTGAGATCCTTCAGTTGTAGTTAATATACACGATGCAAACCTGCCGAGGTCGGCATTGCTGAGTGTGTACGGCAGTGACAGGCACAGCGCTCACGTTGTGAACAAGCATCACCGTCCAGATCAGAAGCTTGGTCTGTTTGTGTGACTCTCAGCAGCGGGATCAAGACCTGAGCTGGCTTTGGGGAACCCCTTCTCTATGCTGGGTTTCCTCATCCAGCCCTGATGCAGGGCGAGGAACTTGGTCTGGCCCCAACTTGATATGCCATGGTGACTCCCATGCCATGGGAGGCTTGTCCCTTTCTGAATGGAGACAGAGGAGGAGTGGATGGGGTGTGAGCAGAAGAGAGGTGGGGGAAGGAGCAGGAGGAGAGGAGGGAGGAGAAACTGTGGACAGTCTATAAAATAAATGAAAAAAATTAAATACAAAGAAAAAAGAACTTGCTCCATCTTGCAGTGACACCTGCTCCTTAAAGTCATGGCTCCTCCCCACGACCACACAGATCCGCGGCAGGACCTCACGGCCGAAGGTCCTCACATGAGACGTGCCTTTCTGTGTGTAGCACATTTCACTTACTCTAATGTCCTTGGGCTTCATCCATGTTCTAGCATGTGTCAGACTCTCCTGCTTCTGTAATGGGGAAGAACATTCATATGGGCTCGGTTGCATTTTCATGTTTATTCCTGCAAAAGTGGACACTCAAGTTGGTCCATCTGAATCACATATAGTGTGCATGTCAAATGTCTGACTGCCCTTTTTGGGTTTTCTCAGAAATGGGAGACTGGACCACATGGCAACTCTGTACTTTGTCTTTGTCCTCTTTTTGGTTACCAGGGTCAAGTGCCAAGGGTTTTGAGGCCATTCTGTGGCATGTCAGTGACATCAGCTACTCCTTCCTGGTGACTGAGGACTGCGGTGCCCTTGGCTCTTGCTGCAGAGATGCGTGTTGTGGCTCCCCAGGCTCCTCCCTGACCACCACCAGCACATCTTCGCCATCTATATGGGAATCTCCTGAACTTGAGGTCTCATCCTCTCTGTCTACAGCCCACTGGCAACTCCCTCAGCAATCAGTAGTCTTTAATTAAACACCAGCCTCTGAGTAAGCTTCTAACCCTGTTTAAGCTGGAATCACAAGGCTGCTGAGTCTACTCAGCAGATGTGTCTGATGCTCCTGACCATTGTGAGCACAGTGTACATTATACAGAGGGTAGAGTTATCTGTACTTCGTCAGGAAATACTACAGTCATGGGTTCAATTCCGTTGTCTTACACTTGGCTCTAATTTGTCGTGAAGTTCCCACATTATTCAGAGCCCAATAAACTATGTGAGCAAAGACAGTTAGTGTTGCCCTGAGGATGAGTGTGGAAGCCAGGCTGAGTGTCAGGGCCTTCCCCTCCCAGGCAGTCACCCAGGGACGTCAGCGTGGGGTCCAGTTTCCTTCCCTGTGCTTTGCAGCCCTGGCAGGTTTGTCTGTGTCGATGCCTTGTGTGACTCCAGAAGTCCCGTGTCACCTGCTCAGTTGGGAAATCCTTGTCCCCTCCATGGTCCCTAGAGAAAGTGAGGTCAGCAGAAAGGTAGCCTCTGTTTTGAGCCAGCCAGTGCAATATTCACCTTGTCTGAGGTCTGTCATTTTCAGAATGTGAGCTGTGCAGTGGTGACCACAATGGTCCTGTACCTTGGCTGCTGACCCCTCTGAGCTCCACTAGGTGGTGCTGGTGTTCACCCTCTGCCTCCCAAAGTCATTGCATTAAGTCACATCACCCCTTTTAAAGTTGTTATTATTCATCTTCTTATTTTACATTCTGACCACAGCCTCCCCTCCACCCTCCCCTCCCAGTCCCTCTCTCCCATATTCCCCTTTCACTCTCCTTTCCCCTCCTCTTCCAACAACAACCAGGAAACGGTGGGTCTTCTATGAGTATCAATAAAACATGGCATATCAAGTTGCAATAAGACTAAGCATCTCCACAAGTATTAACGCTGAGCAAGGTGACCCAGTATTAGAAACAGGGTCCCAAAATTCAGTAAAGGGGTTGGAGACAGCGCCTATTCCAGCTGTTAAGAGTCCCATAAGAGGACGAAGCTACACAATAGTATATATGGAAAAAAAAGTATAATTCCTGCAAGATAACAGGATACTGGTGCTATGGTCACAGAATTCAGGCAGTGAAAGAGAAATAGAATGAAATAGCTAGGCACCAAGGCTCAGAAAGGGACAAGAAACTGGTGCAGTAATTCATAGAGCTAAGTGACTACTGAACAGTGGGGTATGGATGGAGATGGGTGGCTGTTGGAGAATATCATTTTCAGGTGTGTGACTTTTGTTTCCGCTGCATTTGTTTAACTCAGTGAAGCTGTGTTACTGTGCCTGTTGAAAACACCTGATCATTCTAATAGAGAGATGAATGGTCAATAGTGAGGCAGGAGCAAGGATCGGCGGGGCTAGCAGGCAGATGTGTAAAAGCAGAACCAAGAGGGACCAAGGATGAAGAGAGAATAAGGAGAGGAGGACACCGGGGCCTAGCCACCCAGACACCCAGCTAGCCACAGAGTAAGAAGGAAAGAAAGGTATCAGATATAGAGAAAGATAAAAGCCCAGAGGCAAAGGTAGATGGGGGTAAATTAAGTTAAGAAAAGTGGGCAACTTGCATATCACCATAGAACCTTCATCTGGCGATGGATGGAGATAGAGACAGAGATCCACACTGGAGCACTGGACTGAGTTCCCAAGGTCCAAATGAAGAGCAGAAGGAGGGAGAACATGAGCAAGGAAGTCAGGACCGCGAAGGATGCGTCCACCCACGGAGATGGTGGGGCTGATCTAATGGGAGCTCACCAAGGTAAGCTGGACTGGGACTGAAGGAGCATGTGATCAAGCTGGACTCTCTGAATGTGGCTGACAATGAGGGCTGACTGAGAAGCCAAGGACAATGGCACTGGGTTTTGATTCTACTGCATGGACTGGCTTTGTGGGAGCCTAGTCTGTTTGAATGCTCACCTTCCTAGACCTGGAAGGAGGGTGAGGATCTTGGACTTTTCACAGGGCAGGGAACCCTGACTGCTCTTAGGACTGGAGAGGGAGGGGGATGAGGAGTGGAGGGAGTGGGAGGGAAATGGGAGAAGGGGAGGAGGTGGAAATTTTTAATGAAAAAAAAAAAGAAAGAAAAGTGGGCAAGAAACAAGTCAAGCTAAGGCCGGGTGGTCATAACTAAGAATAAACATCTGTGCGTGATTTATTTGGGAGGTGAGTGGTGTGCACCCCCACAAAAAAGCCAAGAATAAAACATTACACAACAGGTGGACAGTTTACATCTATGAAAAAAGAAAGTAATAATAATCACATCTCCATTGGCTGCAATTGCCACTGAACCAAAGGTCTTTTCAACATCCCAATCCCTGATAAGGCAGCTACCCTGGGTGATATTTTTTGCCATGTCACTGGTCAGCTGAGTCATTCTTTAGTTGATCTTCAGGATGACCTCTGCTTATATAGCTGGGGGTTTGAAACCCTTATTTATTTCTTTCAGCTGAAACTGCAGCCGGGTTCTGTGGCCCCACCCTGACTCTGTTCACTCTGTGCCCTGATCAATGGGTCTCCGTCATGGCAACCCCACAGCTTTGTGGACACTTTCATGGTTCTGCATCTCACTGTGGTGTCCTCTGACTGTTGAGTAAAGTCACACAGATGAAAGAAGGAAGAATGAGAACAAGAAAGGCTACAGAAAAAAAAATAACTTTAAAAAGGAAAGTGTGTTCCCAAGTGTCAACTCTCAGAATGTGGATCTTGGCTTGAGTCCTGACTGGTTGCTGAACTGTGGTATGGAAGCCATTACCTCTGAACATACCCGTTCCCACCAGGAAAAACATCACACCTGCCCCCATCGCCAACAGTGATGATGTGTTCATTGATAAGACACTGAGATGTTTAGTTTCTCAGAGATGATTTTAAAACTCCAAATAGATACTAAAATTTTGAGTTTCCAGCAGTAGTATAAAGATCTAGTGTCACCTGCTGTCCTTCTCTGAGAAGCTGGATTGGGGTGGCCATCAAGTCCCAAGGACATACGTGTAGGATGATGCCCATCTCAGTTGGACCCTGGAATCCAACCTTGCTTGCTGTTCTTTCTGTTAGGAGAAAAGGAGAGCCATTCAACAGTCATTGAGCTTAGAGACAAGAGATTTGTCCATGCAGTAGATTTTGACCCCAAGTACTGTTGGGAGCTAAGAAGAAAACAGGGGAGTCTGCTGTGGAGAATGCTGGTGCTTCTGAGAGGAAGCAATGCTGATGGTTCCAGGTTGCATCAGGGGCTGGAGGTGTAAGAAACCATGTAGGTAGATATCCAGGTGCCAGACTTGGTGAACGCAACAGCACAGCTATCTGCATAAAAGAACTCCGGGATGAGGGACTGTGCAGAGATGGAGGAAGAGGAGAAAGACATGTTCTGCTGGAGAGAGTAAGTGGACAGAGCAGGGTCATTTAGGGGACGATCTATGGAAGGTCCCACCATCTGTCATGTCAGGTCTTTCTCCCTGAATTCCACAGAGAACTCACAACCAAGGTGTCATGCATTGAGAAGGACTTGGGATGTGGAGCTAGGTTTTTCCTTTCCGTAGGGCAGCCAGGAGGATGGGACTTTGGGTGGTACCCTAGACGTGGGTATTCTATTGTGTGGGCTGTACTTTGCTCAGGATGTTAGGGCTTTCACTTTCAATCGTTGGATATTAACCAGCAGGAAGCTGCTCCTCATTGGGACGGTGAAGTACAGCTACTGAGCTGATGCACACTGATTCCAGTTCAGCCACGGGAAGATTTTTTGGTAAGTTGGGGACCTCTGAATCCCACCTACCTGCTCCAATGCCAAGCTGCTCTTGCAGAGAAAGATGATCAGGTGAGATTACCAAGGTCCTCAAGGCTCTGCTGAAGTGCCAGTCTGCCCGAGACCTGGAAAGCAGGCTCCCAGGTCAGGTGGCTGTTGTGGGTCCTCACTCCTTTGGAAATGGAGGAAATGAAGGGTGTAGAGAAAGGCGGGCAGACAACCCCGACCTCACTGGTTCATGTGTCCTGTGCACCCCGAGGTTGGCCCTAGGTAGTTATTGCTGCTAAGACCAGATTTGCACAAATGTTGACTGACTTGGGGACTTCAAGGTGCCCAGGAGTTGTGCCACACAACTGTGTCTCTGAGCATGTGTCCGTGCCAAGGCCCTGTGGGAATGGGGGTGCTTGTTGAGGATTCTTTGAAGCAGGGTGAGCAGCTTTCTCAGCCTCTGCCTAGCCTGTGAAGGGTGGAGAAGGAAGACAGGCTGTCCTGTGTGTTTGGGTGCGCAAGGCACAGTGTGAGGCGTGGAGGGACAAGTTGTATAACCCCATATTCAGCACTTTGAGCCCTGTTATCACAAGGTCAAAGGCCAGACCACAGGTGGGGGTAGAGGAGATTATTTCTGTGCCTGTAAAACCATGAAGTTCTAAAAGCTTTAAGATGATAATGACAATGATAATTTTATTATCAAAATTTTAATCCACACTTTTTCCTTAAATGGGGCTATGCCCTCAGAAGCTAGTGGCTCAATATCCAAAGAATGTCTCCAGAGCCCAGACAGCGGCATGCTGGGCATATGGAATGCGGCAGTCCTGCTTGGTCCTGGCACCTCATGGGACTGGAGACATTTCTCTGAGGGAAGAGACTTGGCAGAGTCCTGGATCCCTGGAAGTTGCTTGTGGCTGCAGTAGGGGAGAAATGAGGAAATAGGAGAAGGGATGGAAAGAGGACAGGGGTTCAACAGGCAGGAGTCCCTCTGTCCAGGGTAAATTAGCTTGAATGTGATCCTGGGAGCTAATTAACAATTCTCAGGTTCATGCTGTCCTGAGTCCTGTCTCCTTGCCCTAGGAAGACAGTTCTCCACAGACACTGGGAATGGAGACTTACTGAAAGCCTCTATCTGCCCTACTGAAGAGCTTCTGCAGAACTAGGGAGAGGACACTCCCAGCCTGGGCTTCAGCTGGCCATCAGAATGGAAGGTCTGGGGGGGTCACCTACCCTTCCTCCTGACTCACATCCTCAGGATGCCAGTGCTAAGAGGCTCTGAGTGTAGCTGATTAAGTGGAGGGAGGGGCTTAAAGGAAGCATGGACAGCTGGCTTTTCTCTTTTCCTTTTATTTCTTTTGTGGTACTAGGTGTCAGCCCTGGACCTATGCACTGGACAAGGGCTTTACCACTGGGCTAGGCCACCAGCACAGAGTGACCAGAGAGGAAACTCAGAGTACAGACATTTCACCCAAGTATAAGGTCACCCCAAATGCCAGTCTTTCTTCCTGACAGCCTATGGGGTCCTGTAGTCTATAAAACAGGGCACATGAGGTAGGGACAGCAGCGATCTTGTCACATTAGTGTCTGTAGCAAGAACCCGTACTATCAGCCTCCTTTATGTCTGGCTACTGAGGTAAATGAAGACCTGCAGTCACATATGGACTATCCTGGGAATGGCCAGGGCAGCTGTGGGGAAGGGAGCAAAAGGAAGCTGTGGGTGTTCTGGCAGGGAGGCCTTGTCACAGCCTGGCCTCCCTCCTCCCTCCTGACAGAAGCAGCGGGTGTCTGTGGAGTCAGTGTCTCCTGTCCAAAGGCTAAGGAGACTCCTGTTATCCAGTCAGCCTGTAGTGGTTATTCTCGGTGATGACGAAGGCTCACTGTGGAGATGGACCAGGCTGGCAGAGAGAACCTGTCAGGATCAGGGTTTGGCAGGGGAAACTTGAAGGAGGGTCTAGATGTGTGATGCAGGAAGTGAGGGCCAGTTGTGTCCAGGGCACCTGTGGAAACCCTGACTGTGGACAAAGAGAAGGAGGTAAAGCCCTACTTGGCAAAGAGTAATACTCCTTCTTCCTCTCCAGTAAGAGGAACCTCAGAACATTTGTGACTATAAGAAGCTAACCATGCAGACACGACTTACCAAGATAGATACTTATATAGCACACATTAGCAGATTGGGAAGGCTCAGAGGACAGCCTAGGCACAAGAGTTGCTTCTGGCAGGACCTTCTTGATGCACCATTAGGTGTCATCCTGCAGTGGGACAGTCCAAGTGGGCAGCTTGGGGGTTTCTTCCTCTCTTCAAAGAGCTATGAGCCTTAGCGTGGCAGCCCAGACCCATGCATCACACCCCTTCATGTAATATGGACTTTCACCATTGCTGCACACAGTTCCCACCCCAAGTGCCAGAATATTTCTCCTCATCTCTCTGAAGAGGCTAGGTCCCTTTCCATGGCCACCTCCAGCTGATCATCCATGTTCTGTGGCCCTAACAGGACAGGAGGCCTCCGCTCTGGTTAGGGTAACGGAAGAATGAGAGGAGGCCTAGGACCGAGCCCTTCAGCGGTAGGACCAGGGCCAGGTGCTCTTTGATTTTAGTTGCTCTGCTAACCCAGAGACCCCAGCCTCCAATGAAGCTGTCCCCACTCCATCCTACAGTTTGTTTTTCTCTTCCTTTTAGCCCAGACTCCCAGATAGTTGTGAGGAAAACCTGTGAGAGACGCCACTCCTGGCACCAAGGACGCTTCAGCCCTCATGGCCTCCAAAGGTATAGATTCCTCTTCTCTGGCTCTTTCCTGAGTGTGATCTGAGTGTGGGCATCCACACTGAGAACTTGTAGAGGGGAGGACAGAAAGAGAGTCCCCAAAATGAACTAACAGAGTATCAGCTACCTGGGTATAAGGAGTTCTCCTTTTTGACTCTGTCTTAGGGAGCATGCTCAGGGATCCCCTCCTCTCTCCCGTGCCTCTTAAGGGGGGTTAGGAAAGCCTGGTGAAGTGGAGGAAATTGTGTGGTTTAGGGACAACTCCCAAAGTTTGAGGAAACTCCAAACTCTCCAGCACATGGGATATCACTTGATCCCACAGGCTGAGGGCTTGGACCAAAGACCCCTGTTTCTCTTGGGTCTGAAAGTCAAAGTCCACAACAAAGAAATGGGGGGTTGGTGTGGTGAGGGCCCTCTTCCTGGTGTGTAGCAGGAGCTTGCTACCTGAGAGTCTGCACATAGTCTTCCCTCTGTGCATGGTGACAGAGAGGCTGGAAGGGACCGAGTGGAGGAAGGGACACATAGGCACGGAGATCAATGATGACAGGTAAGAAGATAGGTCAGCGGTTCTCAACCTGTGGCTTTAAGTCACTTTGGGTGATGAAAACCCTTTCACAGAGGTCAACTAAGACCATCAGAAAACACAGATATTTACATTATGATTCATAACAGTAGCAAACTTACAGTCATGAATCAGCAATGAAAGTAATTTTATGATTAGGGGTCACCACAGTGTGAGAACGTGTAGTAAAGGCTTGCAGCATTAGAGAGATTCAGAACCACTAAGATAAATAGATAGATGGATACATACATACATACATACATGACATTATACACACGATGTCTATTTTTTTGTTGTCAGTACCACACTCTAATGGATTAGGAACATAAATTTATGACATCATCTAATCCTCATTTCTTCTCCTTCTTAAAGGCCCACCTCTAAAACTGTTCGCATCCAGAAGGCTTTTCTTTTATATGCGAATTGAAGGCACAGCACATTCCCTAGCATTGATGGCTCTATTCTTGCACCCAATGGCAGATGCTGAATACTCTGGCTGTCAAATGCCATACGCACTTTGCCATTTAGGCTCTTCCATGCTATCCTCTAATCTCATGCTTTTTCTTCCCAAGAGTCGAAGAAATCCTTCATCCAGGAAGTCATTGAGTGTCTGCAGGACTCAGCAAGCAGAAGAGACCTGCAGTACCTGTTGACCAAAGAAGATGCCTGGAAGGTGTTGGTGGCAGAGGCTGAATTGTCCAGGTCATCTCCACAGGACCCCCAGATTGTCCCCAGTTTTGCTCTGATCCCACATCACAGTGCTCCTTTACAGAGTTCCCACTGAGCAAATATTTGGTAGTGAAGGCACAGACCTTGAGTGGAGCCATCTTTATCATGTGCCTGTCACTAATGTGTGTCTTCACATGACTTCACACACTGCACCTACGGACTAAGAACCACTGAGTGTCTGTGGTCATCCTATAGAATGTAGAGAGTCTGTGGTTTCTTGTAGAATGCAGATTCCTGCACATAGTAAAACTCTTTCCCATTGGTTCTAC